TGGCAACAAGGCAGTTTTCTACAACAACAGCAGCTAAATAACATCTCAAAACCTGAAATAATATCTCAACTATGGCCCCAACTCTCAAATGAGTTGAAAAGGATGTTTTATGGACGCATTCTCATCTACCTGCCAGCTGTGCCTGACCACTGAGATCCTGGAACTAGCAGGAAACATGGCTCACGACAGCGGAAGAACAGGATCGTCCCTCAGCACCTACAGTTGGCTGTCTGCAGCTATGAGGAGCTCGGCAGACTTCTGGGAGGAGTGGCCATCGCTCTGGGAGGAGTTCTGCCCGGCATTCAAGCGGTCCTACAGTCCAGGGGAACCAAGAGGCCAGCCGAGTCTGGGTGGACGGATCGGACGGCATCTGCAGCCAGTTTCTTAGGATCCACTGTGGGATGGACCTTTACAAGAGATCCTTCCTGTCTACAGCCATCAGCATCTATAACATCTTAATGAAATGATAACGAGTTACAACAACAAAATAATTTCCCTCTGGGATTAATAAAGTATTTTTGAATTGAATTGAATTGCATTATGAAGTGTTGACTGCTTTAGAGAAAAATAATCTAGACGGCTTTTAATGGAAGACACTTAAATCATAAAAAATAGATGGTAGTTGAAAAAAATATCTCCGCTATTCATCTTGAAGACGATAAACTGGGACCTACAAGAATATATAGAGTTTAAGTCATGAATAAAATATGTAATGTTTATTGTTTTTTTTTTTTAAGAGAATGGGTTCTTGGTTTGGTTCTGCCAACTTACAGTGTATTTACTCTTCAGCAGTTCCAGTTTTAGACTAATCCTTCTTATTTGGTTCTGCAATGGATACATAAATAAATAAATAAATAAAACTGATGCCAAGAAAATACTGGCTTCAACACTGGTACCACTTTAGCATAAAACTCCAAATTGTCGAGATCTGGTGTTGTTAGAACCCAAAGTGCAGGCAAGCCAAGGAGACTCGGAGACTAAAATAGGAATTAAATTATTACTGAAAACAAAACGAAGCTGACGGGGCAGCAAACTTACATAAATGCTGGAGGACATGGAGGAAAGATAGGAACATGAAGCTTGGTAGTAAATAATGCCCAGGCAACGAGGGAACACAGAGACGCAGAATATAAAGGGACTCGAGCACAAGGAGATGGGAATGCATCTACGGCACCTCATTTTCAACTCATTTGACATTATATATGAATGGTAACCAAAGAACCCATAAAAAAACTTCCAAAAAGATTAAAGGTGAACTCCAAGGTCAAGGTACATCCATGTCAGATTGTACCATCTGTCACTGTTTGAAAGTAGACATTATGGAAGATAACTGAGGAGGACACCAAATCATAAATAAGTGGAACAGGAATTTGACAAAATACATATGGACATGCCATAAAGCTTCTGGGAGAATGTCTTTTGGACATGTGAGACAAATCTTGAGATTTTTGGCAACAAGTGCCATCAGATCTGTGATCACAGACCCAAAAATTAAACATACAAAGAACAGAACCTACAGTGAAATATGGAGGAGGCTCGGCTCTGTTCTAGGGCTGCTTTGCTGCATCTGGTACAGTGCAGGTTGCAATGAAAGCTCAAGACTATCAAGGCATTCTGGAGATCAATATGCTGCCCAGTGTCAGAAAGCTTTGTCTCAGCCTCAGGTCATGCATCCTCCATCAGGATAATATGCCAGAATACACAGCTAAAAACACCCAAGAATGGCTCGGAACCAAACATTGGACTGTTCTGAAGTGACCATTTGAGCCCTAAACCTAATCCTGTTGAACATCTGTGGAAAGAGCTGAAACATCTGGAGAAGGAACCATTCAATCTGAGACATCTGGAGCAGTTTGCTCATGAGTAATGGAGCCAAAATAACTGTGAACAGGTGCGGAAGACTCAGAGAGAGTTATAGAAATTGCTTGATTGACTCAAAATATTGTGTTATATATTGTCACCATTGTATGTTCCCATACAATGGTGAAATTGTCTTTCTGCATTTAACCCATCCACCACCAGGTGGTGCGGTGGGCGACTATTGGGGGCACTCAAGGAGCATTTGGGGATAGGGTGTGTTGCTCAGAGACACCATGAGATGTGCAATGACTGGGGATCGAGCCTGGGACTTTAGTGTCCCGGGTCAGCTGCCCTGCCTCTCCCCCATGTCGGCCCCTAAAAGAAGAGCATCAAAGTAATAGGTATATGGTACCATCCATTTTTGTCAAGACCAATTTGATCTTCTTTATAATTCTTGAAAACCATAATTCACAAACAATGGCTTATTTTCCTAAGAAGGCTTTTAATTTTTTTTTTTTTTTATATTATCCCCTATTATTAGTGAACTTTGTAGAGAAAATAAAAATGTCTGTATTTCTTTTCAAATTCAATTTGACATGTTCATGCATGGACATGCAGTTCCTGTTTTTAGTATTTTATATTGCTTTATAATGTAGCTGTTTTTGTTTCATTTTTTTAAATATAATTTCTTCTGTTTTCTTGTCATTTTTTATACTTTTATAAGATTGTCTGCTGTTGTGATCTGTGCTCTTTGTTTAAAACAGGTCTTGTAAATAAGTCCTTGAGGCTCATTGAGACTAGCCTGTATAAATAAAGGTTGAATTTAATTGAAATGTATGTAATTTTAAACCAATCATAAAAATGGTGACAAACCTATAGATAGTTTAGATAAAACTGGTTTTAATACCATCAGACATAGAAACCACCTGTATTTCTAGTCTGAACAGTAAATGGTAAATAGACTGTACTTATTTAGCACCTTTCTATTTTATCAAGATAGTCAAAGCACTTTACAACACAATCTGTGTCCTCATTTACCCATTCATATAGCACTCTACTATATCTATGCAAAAAAATAATCAGAGCTTTATCACATTCAAACACCGATGGGACACACATCGGAGGCAATGAGGGGTTCAGTGTCTTGCCCAGGGACACTTTGGCATGCGACTGCTGGTGGAATCAACCCCCCCAACTCTTGCATTGGAGGATGACTGCTCTAACCACTTAGCCACAGCCGTCACACAGTTTTAAGAGTGGGGCATCTCAACAGTCTAAAAGGTCTCGAAAAAAAACAAACCAACAACAACAACAAAAAAAACCTGGAGTGCAAATCCAACGCCAAAGAAAAAAAACAAGCCCTTCTTTGGCTCAAAGCTTCACGTTTCTCGGTGAGGAAAATGAAGCCCAGAGTGGTAAACTAACAAATTGGAGACAGAAACAGGCGTCCTCATTTAGAGCTGACATGTTTGATTATAATGAGCGCAGATAAAGAAAGACATTTTTCATCTGTGAAATATTCAGACACAGTGACACAAAGACGAAGTGTGAGTTGTTTTGTATATAAAAAGGAGTTTGTTTTGTCACCATATCAGTATGTGTGGGGTTCATTCATTTGTTTGTATGGTTATCTGGCCAAACCTGCTTCAGTTCCACTAATGGACGTCCTAATGAGCTTTTATAATTATAAAATTTATGCATGAGCAATAATCAAATTAGTTATCCTATTTACATAAATTTATTTGTTAACTAAAGTATGTATTGTAAAATACTAAACAGAATGTAAGAACCAAAAGTCTAAATGATTGTTTTATTTGGTTTGCTCAGAATTACTTTTTAAGTTGTTATTTTTCTAATTATTAAAAAAAAAGAGAACAATGATTCCATAACAAGTTATTTGTCTATATTGTTAATCGGACAAATCTGAGTTGTTTTTTAATTACTTTTTTTAAGACAACTATGTAATCTACACTGAATTATATTGTGTATTATCAGTTTTTGCTGCTTCTGTATTTTTAATCAAACCAAAGATGCACATCCCAGCAGTTCTTTTTTTTTAAATTTATTTTATATAATTTCTGGGCAGGTATCTATTTTCAATGACAATCTCTGTACATTTTTTAAAAGAAAATCTGCTTAATTTTATGGGGAATTACGTTTATAAAGTTGTTACAAACTCGAGTAAAGCACCTTCCTGTTAAAGGCCTATATGTTGTGGCAGACTCTAGCAAATCAGATGTGTGTTTTCAACACAGTAAATGCAAATATGTTATTATCTGTACCATATATTACCAATCATGTTTGTCTTTGCCACATTTTATTTTTCTTCAAATACTTCTAAGATTTTATTTCTACAAATACACTAAATATATTCAACATGATGATTGCTTGGGCATTAGGTCTCTTTAAAACATAGACCCTGCTGTTCACTGAAAGGGTGAATACTTGGAAATGTATAAAAAGTCCACTTTAAGTTCTCAGGATGATATAAAAACTCCACCTCAACTTTAAAATAACAGTTGAGAACATAAAGAATGAATATTTACCACTATAACATACACCTAATATTTTGCATTATTCTTGACTATAACAAATTTGTTAAATGTATCTATAAAACATAAATCCTTCACACAAAGTCAGGCAATGTTTTCTCGACGAGAAGACAGGGTGAAGGAGAGCCCTCATGCCCTGAAGAGACATTTGCTCGGGATATACCATGGATTCCTGGGGCCAGTGGAAGATTCTGTATCTGTCCGTATTGTCCATTAAGGACATAAAAGATGCATACATAATTGGATTTATGATACTGGGATTTCTGCTTTTTGGAATCGGCAGGTTTCTGGCTTATCAACAAATTTGGAAAGCGTCGGCAGCGGACCTGGCATTTTTGAAGCCATGTGTGAAGGAATTTCCCGCGCTTCGAGCGCCCAGACTCAGATGCATTGTGAGCTAAGCTGTAAGCTGGATGCAATTTATGAGAATTCCAGGCCACTTGTGGATTCTGAAACTCGCTGGGGTGAAGAACTCAACCTTGGGGAAGGCTACAAGCCCAGCCAGGTGGAGTGACCATAAAATTTGGTTGTTTGGATTCACCATTGAGAAGTACCAGCAGAACTATGAAGGCAGACATTAAAAAAATCTAGCAGAGTCTGCCTGTCCCAAAACAATTGTTATTATCAAATCTAGCTACCCCAAGTCACCAAAGCATCCCCAGCTCTGCTAGGAAAAGTCTCCTCTTGAAACTCTTCCCCTGGTTCCAGGTTGGGTCAATGGCTGCCCACACCACATATGCATTGAAAGCAGACACATCAAGGATGTTGTGGAACAGTGCCACAGGCCAGCCGGCTGTTGTTTGCTTGCAGGTGTATGCACCAGTAAGCTGCAATAAAAGGAACAATAAATAAGAGATTGGGAACAATACTGAATCGGTTGTACACAAAATGCTGTGATTCACATAAATAAAAATAAAATAAAATGTGTGATGGATGAAACTTTACATTACCTTATCAAGGCAGTCAACACCTCCTTTGTTCAGTCTCCTCAAAGTCTGGATCAAAATCTGTGTTGTCTTCGACTTCCGAGACATCCTCCTCTATCTTTGGTTCAATTTCAGTGCCCTCTTCATCATGTCATGTCCAAAAATCTGGACCAGAACCTCTTCGACAGAGAACCGCTTGGTCAGTCACCTACTCATTGTGCTCAGAGTAAAAGGAGTGCAAGGCAAACACCAAGCTATATACAGTATATGGGATCTGTGCAAAGATGATACATTGATTAGTCTGGAAGGTGTGGTTCACGTGAGGGATGGGCACATAAGCGCGGGAAAGAGATGTGTAACTGCAAAAGACATTGTTCAGTCTGAAATGTGTGTGTGAGTGAGTGAGTGAATGAGTCGGGGTGGTGTGTATGAGGATGTTTTCTGTCTGATGGATGAATGTAGTCTGGATACCCATTCATTTCTTATGGCGATCACTTTTGACCGTGAACACCACAGGTGTAAAAAGGTTGATTAAAACACTCAAAATTCAGTGAAAGAGATGATTATCATTTTTATATGTTCAACTGCATAGTGTGGAGGATATCATAAGGCCTTGACGCAATCAGATCTAAAACACAATATTTATGAGTGTTTTAAGTTGTAAATAGGTCAGATTTTACCCAAACACAACAGGAGGTTTGTATATATATATATTAGAGAGTCAGAGTCTGAGTTTCTTTATTGTCATTCGCACCTCATGTGGTACATGTGGTGGAGCGAAATTATGTACACGTGGTCCCAGTTACATCCAACAATAAAATGTATAAGAAAAACAGTAATA